CAGCGATTTTTTCGAAAATGTTGCTTCATAACCATCAACATGCTATATTTTTGGAATGAGCGTGTCGAGATCTACGTTCCAGAATAAAATTAGAATTGCCCTTTAAGATGCGGTATTTTAAAACTAACTCTTAATTAATTTTGCCTGAGATCGACAGGATACGCTTTGGCTGACACAAAAAGAAGCATCCTATTTATATCAAATTTAAATCCGGGACGTAATCCTACAGTAGACTGTCATTTCAAATGTTCAAAACACATTTTTTAAAATACTGTAATAGATTTCAAAACCGTTCTGCATCAAGAAAGTTTGACGCTTTGCGTACAAATTTACATACAAAGCAAGCCATTTCCCCATATTTACGAAAACAACTCTTGGATTTCTCTGCAGATCTGAAGTTGGCAACCTATTTATCGCTGACATACAAAACAATCCCTTCACAATATGATCAAAGCGATTTTGGTTACCGATAAATTAGTTCCACGTTAAGCTTAACCTTTTCACTTAAACCAATTATTCGATATTGTATCGTAATATTCCGAATTAGTTTCGTTGTTAAGGTGGGATTACACGCCGAAGTAAGAAACCAAACTCGTGTTTGTCTGTTTTTCGTTCTTACCATATTGTTACATCCGTTATCTCGACACTAAACTCCTCGAAATTTTCATCCTTGCTACTTAGCTCTTTGTTTGATCTGCGGAATCCGACGCAACAATCGATTTCAGAATTAGCTGTGTCAATTTGTGTCAATCCAGCGATAACCGAATAGCTGATATCGTAGAGAAAGCTTCCTAATGAGAGCTTTAACGAAAAAGCGTCGATCTTTTTCTAAATTAACCCCATTAGACACAAACTTGAATTTCATTTGTTCAGTCGCCATTGACATTTCGGTGAAATTGAGGAACTTATTGTGTAGCAAATCCAATAACTCTAAAGTTCCATTTAAACCTCCCCTAGCTGTGCCACCACCTTTTCTGTGAAAAGAAATGAATTGTATAGAGCACTGGGACTTCCCCGAATAGGTCTAACAGACGGCAACACGGGGTATGGTTTTCTTCTCTAAATAACCCTTCGCAGAGACGCACAGCTCGTGTCATTAAACGCACTCTTCAGCCCTTCTGTAGGGCCATTTGTGAGTGGGGGTATTCTGAGTAAAATGGGAAATTAAAGGGTTGATTTAATGGGGTGGAGTTGGGAATGTGAAGCGATGGGAAAAATAATGAAATTAAATAAGTATGTAGAGCCCGCCCAAACCACCATGCTACATTCTGAAATTTAAATTTTAACGAAGTCAAACTTATTTAGAATTTTCTTTTGTATGGACAAAAAAGCTCAATTAAATTAAGAGATGATGTTTTTAGATTGTTGAGAATTAAAGGAAATGAAAATGATAATACTATATTTTTTGATTACAAATTTAATTTTGGAAGAATATAAGTGGAGAAGGTAGAGAAATTATTTGCAATCTTTGTTCGACCATACAGTATAATAACACCTTTAATAAGGAAAGTAATAATGTTTCATTCAATGAAATTAATTTATTGTATTGGCTGCATTTTTGTTACTCGTAGCGCTATCTTCTCACCAGAAACGATAGTTACAAAATAAATGTTTCTTTGTTTCCTCCAGCGACCTCTCTTGTTCAGGTACTGCAATTTTATTTCAACTTAGTTTTCTCTTTCTTCACCCATGTTAAATATTAGAGTCCTATCTCACCTTGTCTTCGACCATTGTTTAAGTTTTTTTTTTTAATTTATAAATATGTATTATAGAATTGAAAACTCGAGAAATCGAAAAACCTTGAATTTTAAAAATTGAGAAGTTAACATATCGAAAAAAACAACAGTTAAAAAATTGAAAAATTTAAAGTTTAAAAAACGGAAAACTGAAAATCCAAAAAGTAAAAAATCGAGAAATCGAAAAATCCAGAACTCGAAAAGTCGAAATACCACAAAATCCCAAAACTCAAATATCGAAAAATTGAAAAATAGAAGAATCGAAAAACTGAAAAATCACAAAATCGGACGAAATATCCAAAAATTAGGAAATTTAAAAATTGAGAAACCGAGTTTGGATGAAATCGAGTTTGGAAACTCGAGAAATCCAAAAATTTAAAAATTGAAAAATTAAAATATGGAAAAATTGAAGAATTGAGAGTCTAAAGTTTAAAAAACGAAAAACTGAAAATCCTAAAATAAAAAATCGAAAAATCCAGAAGTTGAAAACATCCAAAAATGGAAAAATTAAAAGATCGAAATAGGCCAAAATCGAAGAGTTAAAACTGGAAAAATTGAACATACGAATCTCGATAAATCGATATCTCAAAAAATTGAAAAATCGAAAATTTAAAAATTCGGAAAATTGAAAAATTAAAATATGGAATTGGAAACTCGAGAAATCGAAAAATCTAGAAATTTAAAAATTGAAAAATTAAAATATGGAAAAGTTGAAAAATTGCGAATCTAAAGTTTAAAAAACGGAAAACTGAAAATCCAAAAATAAAAAATCGAAAAGTCGAAGAATCGAAATACTGAAAAATCTCAAAAGATGAAGAAAGAAATATCCAAAACGAAAAACCAATAAAGCGAAGTCGAAAAATCGAAGAATTGGAGAACTGAAAAATCGAAATTTTGAGAAGCGGGAAAATCAAAAATAGATTAATTGAGAAATCGGAAAACTGAAAATCTAGCAACGTCAACATTTGAAAAATTGAAAAATGGAAATACTGAATAACTGAAAAATCAAAAAATCGGGAAATCGAAAAATCTAAAACTTAAAACATTGAACAATTAAAATATCACAAAAATGAAGAATCCAGAAATCCAAACATCAAAACCTCAAAAAATTAAAATTCGAAAATTTAAAAATAGAAAAACTGAAAAATCGACAAATTCAGAATGCGAAAATCCAGATTTTAAAAAAATTAAAGAATTCAAAAATCGGATAACTAAAAAATTGAAACATTGAAAAATTGGAAAAGGGAGAAATTGAAAAGCCCAAAAGTAAAAAGTCGAAAATAAAAGTTAAAAATTGAAAAATTGATAAATCGAGAAACTGAACAATCAAAACAATCAAACATCTGAATTCGATAAATCGAGAAATCAAAAAATTGTAAAATTGAAAAATTTTAAAATAGAAAAACTGGAAAATCGAAAATTTAAAAATTCGAAAAATTGAAATATAGAACTGAAAACTCGTGATATCGAAAACACTAGAATTTTAAACATTGAAATATTAAAACATCGAAAAGTTGAAACATTGAGAAATCGAAGTATAAAGCAGTCGAAAAATTGAAAAATCGAAAGTTTAACAATAAATTGAAAATCCAAAAAGTAAAAAATCAAGAAATCAAAAAAAGTCAGCTAAATTCAAAAACTGAAAAGTCGAAAAATCGAAATATTGAAAAATCTCATAACTGAAAGAAATATCCAAAAAATTGAGAAATTGAAAAATTGGAAAATTGGGAAATTAAAAAACCAAAAAAGCAAAGTCGAAAAATCTTAAACTTAGAAAATCGAAAAATTGAAGAATTGGAGAACTGACAAATCGAAGTTTTGAGAAGTGGGAAAATCAAAAATAGATTAATTGAGAAATCGGAAAACTGAAAATTTAGCAACGTTAACATTTGAAAAATTGAAAAATAGAAATACTGAAGAACTGAAAAATCAAAAACTCTGGAAATCTAAAAATCTAAAATTTAAAACATTGAACGATTAAAATATCACATAATTGAAGGATCGAGAAATCCAAACACCAAAGAATCAAAAAATAAAAATTCGAAAATTTGAAATTTAAAAATAGAAAAACTGAAAAATTGACTAATCCAGAATTTGAAACTCCAGAATTTAAAAAAATTAAAGAATTGAAAAATGGGATAACTAAAAAATTGGAACATTGAAAAATTCATAAATTGGGACATTGAGAAATCGAAAAATCAGAGGATCGAGAAATTGAGAAATCGGAACCCGAAAATAAAAGTTAAAAATTGAAAAATTGATAAATCGAGAAATTGAACAATCAAAACAACGAAACATCTGAATTCGATAAATCGAGAAATCAAAAAATTGAAAAATCGAAAAATTTTAAAAAAGAAAAACTGGAAAATCGAAAATTGAGAAATTGAAATATGTATAGAATTTTAAAAATTGTAATATTAAGACATTGAAACGTTGAAAAATTGAAATATCGAAGTATAAAACAGTCGAAAAATTGAAAAATCTAGAGTTTATGAATAAATTGAAAATCCAAAAAGTAAAAAATCAAGAAATCAAAAAAAATTCATCGATCCAAAAATTAGAAAATTGCAGAATTGAAGAAGTTAAAAATCGAAACTTTAGCAAGTCGAGAAATGGAAAAACAAAAAAATTACTTCAGAAATCAGAAAACTGAAAATTTAGAAACGTGAAAATTCGAAAAATTGAAAAATCGGAATATTTAAAAACCGTAGAATTGAAGAGGACAAAAATTGAAACAACGGAAAGTTGAGACATCGAAAAATAAAAAAAATCGAAAAGCCGAAAAATCTCAATAGCGTATTTATAAGTCAGAAATTCAGGACTATGTTACTTCTTAACATTTAAATAAAATTATAAATTGCAAAATGTTGATTTTATTTACAAAAATCTTGACTTCTAAGATGAATAGGTTTGCCAGATTTTAAGCCCTCTGGTTCCGGCTTAATTAACGAACTACATATTTATTTATGTGCTCTCGAACAGATCGATTTTAAAATGTTTTAAATGTAATAAAGCACAGTTCGGCAACCAGTTTTACACCGTTTTCAAAGTGATGTTATCGTATGAACTAATCTTGGCATGTTGGCTTCCATTAAACTAATTTTTGAAGTGTACAATTTTTAAACGATAAATTCAACAACAAACGAAACGTTTTGTCACAAATGAGGAAATTAAAGCAGCAATTTATTTGTAATGAATCGCTAGCAGTGGCAGTAATTTTAAATTTGATACATAATGAGAACCAGCAACACCAACCACACCATATTAAATAATCATGTCCCTAAAAAATCCACCACAAACATAACCTATATTATTGAAAGTATTTACATTTTTCTTTTAAATAGATAAAAAAATGACTATGTTAATTGGTTGGCGGTACAAACTCTTCGTCGGTAGTATTGTAGGAGTAATAGGACTAGCTCTTTATCCAATAGTGGTCCATCCAATGTTAAACACCGAACACTACAGTAAGTTGCTTACTTTTAAGAAACCGTGACGAAATACTATGTTATAGAAAAAATTCAAGAAAGGAATAGGCAAGGGATTCGTCAGGAAGATATCCAGCCTGGGAGTAAGCCTTTCTTTACAAACATTCCAACAATATAACCTCCATTTTTCAGATATGAAAGTATGGAGTGACCCCTTTGAAAAAAAACACTAACACTCGGTTAAGTAATCGCTTTATTGTACATATTCATGGCAAAGTTAAAATATAGTTGATTTTAGTAATGCAGTTGTAGAAAATTGTGAAAATAGACACCAAAAAAATCCTAAGTTGATCACATCCCAACTAAATCTATAACAAATTCTCATCATCATCATACACGTCCAAAAAGACGTCAAACCCATCTCTGTTACAATTGCCGTCTTGGTTAAAAACGTACTTATGGAAAGTGCCATCCAAACAAGCAGCTATCACAAAAAAGTTACGTTTTGCAGAGATCTCTTTTTGAGTCTTACCAACAATCACGGAATTGTTTTCTGTGAAGGCACATATGCACGCACACTCTTGCGGAACGGTGAAATTGGCCAGAGCCCATTGGGAATTGGCGTACTTTCCAAAAATATTAGTGTTGGGTATTCTGCAACAACAAATTAAGTAGGTACTAATTCAATAAAAAACGCACATACAACATCCGCTTGTTTTTCCACAAGTCTTTGACTGCAAAAATGTGCACAGTCCCTTTGTCACTCGAGCAACATAAGTACTCAGAATTGCTGCTGAAGTTTAAGCTGGAAAATGTAATTTTATTTTTATAGTGATTATTTTTGGAATTACCAATAAATAGTGGCTGGGTCGCTTCCTCTTCGCAATTCAACTAATTGTGTTTTGGTTGCTAGGTCCCACACTCTTATCAAAGTACCCTGGACTGAAGCCGTCGCGATTTTTGTTGCTTGTTGGTTGAAAGTTAAACACGCTAATTCTCCTTTGTGGGCGCTGATCCATACAGGAGCGCTGGACATTCCCATTTCTGTGCAAGCTAAGTCCTACAGACCAATTTGATAATTAATGAAAAACGTCAAGGTGGAATTTACCAATATCTGCACACTCCCCACTTTGTGGCCAGGGAAAATAATTATTTGCTTTTCTCCTGCAGCCAAAGGGCTCAATTCTAAAAGACCTCTAGGGTTTCTGATTGTTTCTAGTGAAAAAAGTCTCTGTGTTGGGGCTGGGAATGAAAAGACGTGTATGCTAGTCAATAAAGCGACGATAATTCTGCAAAAAAAATCAATTTGGCGTGTATTACTACACTTGTTTGTGGATTTTACTTGTCCTTTCTCATCCGCACTGCCTGTATTGACGACGGAAACGTTATTTCTAGAATAAACTTCTTTACTAGATCATCAAATATTAGTAAAATGTTGTCGGAAAACATCGGCCGGGTGCCCCCTGATACTAACGCGATTAAATTAGTGCGGTATAGCATTTCACACTTGGCCACACTTCCCACAGTTTCGATGTCTGCAAAATATTTTTAGTGACTGAAGTTGTGAAAGGTTCACTTTACCATAGTGGCACTTTTCTACCAATGGCTCAACATTGTAGATCCTTACACCACTCTCCATACAACAAGAGAAGCACCCTGAAAGGTAATACATAACAAAGAGCTGCAAATTATTTCATACTAACCTTGATCTTGATTAAAACGCAGACTAATAATTTTACGATCAGTGTCCATTTTTCTGTACTGGGGTGATCTAAACAAGTCTTGCTTTTGAGTTTTCACTTAACAAAACATTTCTATGGACGTGGTTGTTATCAACAATTAAATAATTAGTGACTGGAAGTGTCAACCTAACCAAAGCTGACGATTATTTATCAAAATTAAATATTAGTTTAAATAACGTTCGTTTTTGTACCAAATCTTTGAGAAAACAGCCAGAAAACATAAACTGCGAGTTAGTTACACGTGCACGGATAACAAAAAGGTTTTTTTCTAACAATAAAAAAACTATTGCACAATTAGTAAGTAACAAACGAGTTCTTATGGTTATTAGAGGTATCACTAGCATTCACTATCACAAAACAGTTTGAAATCACAAAGAAATGTTCAATAATTCGCCAGTTTTGGGCCCATCAGCTGTTCTATTGTTTTATTTTGGTTACGTTTGACATTTGACAGCCAACGCTAGCACCCCGAACGAGAGCTCTGAAACTAAACCGCGCCAGATTTAAAAATATTGATTATCAAGTTGTAATCAGTGATAACGTAGTCAAAATTGCAAATCCACACTGTAATAAGTTAAATTCAGCGAGTAAACCGTCTAAATATTTTTAGGTTTAACTCCGTCTGATTGGCTAACCTTTTAGTGACTTTGGTTGGTAATCACGCTCAAAGCCATCTTCATTTGCAGTTTTTCGTCGGTTTTTCAAAGTTGTTGCAGTTGTGTAATTTTGTGTCCTTTTTAATAATTATTTTAGACATTCGTAGTAAATTTTGTGTGCTCACTTGTTCAATGGGGCTCTACTAAGGTAAATCTTTCTTTGTATTTATAATTTGGCGCAATTATCTGAATAAAAGCGATTTTCTGGAAAATTTGAACCGTGTGAAGTTAGCTTCGGGTTTGAGTCTTTTAAACCTTTGTTCAAACTATAAAATAGTGTGTGCAGTGGCCACATTTGAAGTAAAGTATCGTAACGAAGAAGTTGGTCGTAGTCATAAATCCAAAAACCTCTCCAGACGAATTAGAACCATAAATCAAATTTGCAGCTAACTTCACCACGGTAAGCTTACTCGATTTTGACTTCGTCGATGTCTATGGTCGGTGTACACGTATAAAAATGAAACCACATTTATTATATAATCTTTATTGAGAATAATTTCAGAGCAATAGCGACATAGCCATTACAATTTACATTGGGATGTCATTCTGCTATAGCATAAACTAATTTAATGGGCGATGTAGGTATTTACAAAAAAGTACACAAAATGATGAGATTTGCACAAAATTTCACAATTTGGGTGTTAAGGAACTAAATCTATTTCCACTGAAATAAAATTATGATATAAGTAGTAATAGAAAAACTAATACTATAAATATTTCAATCACTTCATAGAAGTGAAGTCACTAGTTATGAAAATCTCTACTTTTTAAATTCGTAACAAGAATACTTATCTACAATTTTGGGTAAAATTAGCGGTAAAGCACATTTTCTTACAATAACCGAAGATCAGTACAACAAGATAAACTACTTTCAATTTATTGCAGACAAAGATATGTATTTCCTATTATTTTAAAATTATTGTGTCATGTTGTGTCAACGAAACGTCGAACTAACTAAAAGTTGCGTCAAATGAAATGAAGCTTAGCTACAGGAAACGTCTTATTGTAATTTCTACAATGTAGTATAAATTACATAGATGTTATAAATAACTATACATAGGTATTTACAGGAGTACAATATCATTAAAACAAACAATACTATAAGATTTCTGAAATATGATAACAATATGTGATGAATATTTTACAATCTCGTCAATTATTACGTACTTGCAAATAAACGGATCCTTGTCGTGAACGAAAATATATATATAATCTGTTCAAGTGATTGTCCTTAAATACGAATAAAACATGCGCACAACAGATCTTTTGAACGTTTCAGTCACTCAAATAATCTCCGTAAATTCATAAAAATCTCTGAATCCGAAAAGATCTGTTTTCGTGACTCAACTCAAAAGTGAAATAAATTTTAATCCTGGAACGTATTTACAATGGGTATATATTTTAAGGGACCAACACTTTGCAAGCGAAAAGTATTGCTTTGAATACGCACTAAAATTACAATATGTCGGATTTAACTAACCGCCGTTAACAGTAAAGTCCATTCACTTTGGTCCGGAGTTATCAGTTTGTCTGAAGCTGATTGTTTTGCAAATATCCAATGTCAAACTCTTAAAATCAATCAAGAAATTACGGTACATATATATCACAGACCTACAATATTTAGAGAATTTCCGAAAAACAAATACAAAAATAGAAATCAACGGGTCAAACCGATGCAGAACCTTTACATCGAAATGTCCTACCAAACTTGCAAAACAAGACGAACTTTTTAAAAGTTAAAAGCACATTTTAAGCACTCACTCTCCTCTTCTCGAGTCCATCACAAATAAACAGGGCACTTTCACTGATTGATCGTTGAATTCACTTTGGTAGTTTATCAATATACCTACGAAAATATTTACACAAAAAGAACCATAGTCCAGTACAATGGAATTCCTAAAAACGTGAGAGCAAGCGGACCGCGCTGAACGAGCTATCAGACTAGTGGCCTGTATATTTCATTTGGGTGACTATTTTGGTTGCTGTCGTTCTGGCGAGAAGCGCATTGCTAAAAAAAAAATACAACTAAAACGGCACGCTATTATCACAATCACCTACAGCTTGCTTCTTCTCCCAAGTCTTCATCGCCGACTTGTACTTCTCGAACTCGTGGCACCAGTCCGAGTAGATCTTCTGGTAGTCGTTGCTTTTGGCAGGAGGCGAGCAACGATGGGCATCCACCGTCACGTTGTACGAACACAGCAAAGACGCACCCATCCAGCAATCGTAGCGACCCGCGTCTGCCTCAGTTACAGCAATGATGACCAGACCGTGTTCGGACGTTTCGATGTATTTGTCGGGCCTATACTGGATTTTGTAGCGACCCTTTTCCTTCGAATAATGGTACCAGGTGATGGTTTGCGACGCTAAAACTGCCGGCATTTTCAAGAAACACCCCAAGTGTAAACTTTGCCCCCACGTCACGATCATTTTCTTCTTAACGACGCTGCTATCGCAAACATCCACGGTGCTGTTCGATACATCTTGCAACAATCTGCGGAAATACGTTAAAGAGCTGGCTCTTAATAGCTTCGAAATACTCACCCAGGCGAATAAGGTTTGCATACATTAGAATCCTTATCCCAACCGCAGTAGGGGTCATGGACGCACCTGAGGCAATTATCGTACCTTCTGTTACACATAACTAGGTCCACTTGTTTCACTCTATAATCAGAAGCGACGAACAAAGCTTTATGTTCTTTTGAAATTTCCATAACTTGAATTGGCTCCCCGGGCGTCACATCAAAGACATCTAATAAGATTGAGGATGTTCCGTCGCTGTCGCGTTGCCATTCCACGATCTTGTGCACGCGGCCGTCGTCTAAAACGAGAATTACGGATTGGGTGTTTGCTCTACTAAACTAGTGTTAACTTACTAGTTCCAGCGTAATAAACGGTGTAATCCAAAACAGCGCCCCCTATATCCACCTTTATTTTGTCTACGACTAGTCTCGTGAAGAAGACGTCCCGCTTGAAGAACACCGGTTTCTCGTAGTCGTGCATCACAGCCGAATCCATCAGAGGATGGGACCTTATGAAGTTCAGGACGGTATCGGGAAGGGTCTCCGTGTCGTTAACGCAGGTTCCAGGTCGCGGTTCCGGGACCCTACTGGTCAAAACCGGCAGCCAAGCCGAGGACGAAGACGCCTGTTCTTTAAATTTACCACTAAAGGCCGACTGGATGTCGTCCAACGTGAACGAGCAAATCGCCGAACCCATCAGACCGTTCGTCGAAGTAGTGAACGTCCCATAGAACTTGGTGTCATCTCCCGGGACTTTGTATATGCTCTCTGTAAGCAGACAGGTAACGTGGCGCAGTCGGTAGGATGGCTTAATAGCTGTACAGCGCAAAGAAACCACAAAGCAGCGGAAGTGAAATTCGATACTTACGTATTTCATTGAAATAGAAAGGAAATTCTCCCGGAATGGAGCAGTTGAGTCTAGCTTTGAGATAAGTGGCCCAGTTTTGCGAGAGGATATTCTTTCCTCCGGTGTCCTTTTTGCAAACTCGCGCCACTCTCGAGTAAACGCTTTTACCACAGTTGATGTATTCGACGGCGGTTTCTCTGAAGAAGAACAAAACGTAATCGCCGATATCGAATGAACCCACAAAGTTCGGCTCTGAAAAGAGAAACAGAAAAACGGATCAGGTTAAATAACATCCATTTCTGATGCGCGCGTTCTGATAAGCAATTCAACCGATAAAAAAGTTGCGAAAGGCATCAGCATTTACGCGGTATTCATCGTTCCGTTTATTTAATCTTTGTGTGCTTGTCATATAATTCGGGCTCATTTTCGCATGGGTGGGCCCGAAATGTCGAGCGCGGCCACGCCACTGAAACGAAAATATACATGGCAATGCGGTGCATAATGGAATGGTTAATAGGCGGAAAAATATATGCGTGCGTAATTATTGAATATCCGACAAATCGCATTATGCATAATATAGAGATTTTTGAGTGTGGCAAATGTTTAAAAAACCGCTGCGGCAGGCGAGGAATCCACCGGGACGGCTAAATCTGCAATTGGAATAATTGCAGCGCGGAGGATTATTATAAATGATGATGGGATTTATTTGCATCCGCACAAACTATTTCTACAGTTATCGTGTCTAAAAAACTGGAGTAGTATGTATGTTTGAAACAATGCCTCGCAGCTAAATTTATCTTAGTTTTTGTACCTTTCACTCAACTAAAGTAAAGTCTGACTGTCCCAAATACAAAATCTTTAATTTTCATTTTATCTAAAAGGAGGTCTTTCGTTGGTCAGTCTCTTTCCGCTTCTCCACAAATCACTTAATCTTCTCGCCGCTCTTAACCTCCCGTCCTTCCACAATAAACATGGTAATAAGTGCAAGACCGTACCCCTTTTCAGAAATAAATTGGTATCTCGCAAAACTCCGCTGTCCGTGAAATTCCATTACCTTACAATCCAATGTGTCGCCTCGGCCATAATTTTTCGATGGCCGACCACACAAGTAATCGATGTCCCACCGTATTGAAAAGCGATAAAACGGCGTGTCGCTGCTTTTCATTATAAAAAAGCGAGCGTAACGCTTTCGTAGTCCATCAGGCGGCGAGGTGGCCGGTGAAACGCAAATTCGCCAATCCAATTACCGGTAATCTGTATTATCACGGTAAGCGGTGCGCGAGCACAGCCGATAATTAAATCATAGAGTGAGAGCCCGAACGAGGGCGACATCGCCGAGGTTGGAGGTTGCCCTCGGTGGCTATGGGAACCTGCAGGTGCAGGATTAGGACGAGCCTGTAATGGGTAACGGGATACTCAAAGGTGTTTCCGCTCGTTGCTCCTTGCCTACCTAACTTGATTACTCCATGCATGATTACGGTCTGAGCTGGCACTCAGGTGTCTGATAGGTCGATCTGACAACCCCCGCGTTCGGGAGCAGGAGAAGCCGAAGACCGGGTTTTTATGTCTTTGTTGGCGGATTTTAGCCGGGTTGGGAAATCCGGGCACAAGAGGAGGCTTAGGGCGCGAAGCTGGACGCCAGAATTAAAAGCGGAGGTACTCTTTAAATATCACTGTTTGTCCACGTACCGTTAAAATTTTTCCGGTGGACCAAATAAGGGTGAAAAGGGGCTGGGCTCACTATACATAATGCAAACGAGCCCTTCCTGTCTCTTCTCTCTGTTTTTCTTTTTTTGAGTTTTAACTCCTTTCTTTTAATATTAAAAACACGCATACGACGCGCGCCGGAATAGAAAGTCGAGATTGAGCTACGAGCTCACGTTTTTCCGTACCGACATCCGACACCGACACTGGTGTCGGAGTCTGAACATAGGCATGTAATGCCGCGCTATAGAAAGAGAGAGAGAGAGAGATAAACTGGTGTGAATGTGTAGGTTATCCCGTTTGCCGGGCAGGTGCCTTCACCACTAGACCACAAAGCGTTTGATCTTTACTTCGCTTACCCAGCTATTATTGTGCCGCCACAAATGTAATCATGACGCGCTAGATGGCCGGGAATCAGTAGCGGGTGATAATCGCTGAATTTAATCGTCACTTTTTCCATAAATACAATTAAAGAAAACGTAATTAGTAAAACGGCTAAGTAAATGAGAACGGCAATTAAGAACAGAGTGCAACGAATCAATGTTATTGTATTCTCAAGTAAACGAAGTGCAGCCCGTAACTACAATGAATTCCCATCCCGTACGAGTCGAATTTTAAACAATATTGTTGGAGTTTTAAGTTCTTTCTTTTCGTATTATAGAACACCAACAGAAAATTAATGACTTCGCCGCGTATATGTTTTTAATTTATATAAATTGACAATGCAGAGTTTAAACTCCTTCCGTGCGTCCCTGGGTCGACGCACTCTTTTTTTGTTGTAGCGAGTCCTGCCATCTTTTGCTTGGAATTGGAGCTTGTATTGAAGACACCTGTTCCAAAGACCGAAACTTGTTTAGGCACGAACCCTCAGTTTTCGGACCGTCGCTGGACTTTCTTTACCATATCCATTTTAAATGTTTGTGAAGCGAATGGACGAAGAAGAAAAAACGAAATTAAGACATGTGGAATGTTCTTGGACCATCGTTATGAATACTAAGTTCTGTATAAACAAGATCCGATGTTGGCTGTACTGAACGCTAGCAATCGTCAACTAAAAGTCAAATATTGACTGGTACACATTTATGTTGACATTTGATTTTATCGGCCTCGCCTTTGGATAATATATTTTAAATTTTCACATTTGTAAACAAGTATTATTTGCCACCATTAGTAGTTCAAATCTATCCCCATTTGAAATTAATAATACAGCTTTTGTTTAAATATGCATTGTGAAGTGATCAGCGAAATATGAAACTAGTTAATTTGGTTACCAAATATATAGAAAACATGTTCCGTGCTATTGAACAAATGAAATAATTAAAACAAATCTTTATTTATTTGGGGTACATTTGTTTGAACGCTGACACCGAAATCCTTTTAACAAAAAAACAAAAAACTTGGTAACGAGCAAAGTGCCACTACTTCGGTTTGAACTTCCCCGGATTATTTCTGCAGAGATCGCCTTAATCTCCTCCAGATAATTTAATTTCGAGCGAATTTACATTTTTATAAGTTGCCCTTCCTTGACAATTTACTTATGTAAGAAATGCATCCGCGAAATTTAAATGTTGGGAGCGACTTCATTCCGGCACATAAAAATTTCGGACCGGGATAATATGTATGCAAATGCAAGGTGGAGCGAATGGAAATTAGAAAATTATGAAACAAGTTCGCTTCTGAAATAACAAGGGCCGACGGTGTCACCTGTTGGAGGACTAATTGCCCCTATCTGAACGCCAAACATTAATTTCTAATGTACGAATTTTGCATTTTATGCCCCCCGACGTAATCTTGACGGCATTCTGATATTGAAAATTTAATTTATGAAGGCCTCATTGTGGCGAGGCTAAGTACCGAACGCCCCTTTTACCTCCAAACTTTTCGCCGCCATCACCTTAAACAGTTTTATGATCGAGCCGTAAAATCGCACTTTCAATTTTGAACACCTCGACATGCGAGCTCTTATATTTTCAGCGAGATTACTTATTAAAATGTGTATTAAGTGGCTCTGCAAGGAGGAACATTTACTTAGAACTTCGCAAACATCAGCGCCGAAAGTGGTTTATTTAAGGGCCTGTTAGCTAGTAAAACTTAAATGTACTACTGAATGTCAGAAACATTAATAAATCAGAAAACAAGCACCGGCCAACATAAACTCGGCTGCGACGTACGAGTAGAGAAAAAGTGGCTGTGACGTCATCGCGCGCGACGTGATTGGCGGTCACCTTCTCCCGCCAAGTTTGAACTAGTTTTAAACGAGTCACCGCTTTTCCTTCGGTTTTTTCTGTTATTTTCGTATTAAGCTGGCGAGTTGAAAGTGAAATTCGCAGCGGCGGTAAAAATTTGCAAAATGTCCACTTAGCTATCCGGAGCAATTTGCCTGATTGCGCCTATCAGCTCCTTCATCATCGTTTTTCCCTGCATTCCTCCTCACAGCTCGGATCAAGTCTGTAGGTCGACGATCAAAGAAACGTGGCCGAGCAAGAATGAAGCGAAGGCTCCCCGTTTTAATTATCCCGACTTCGCACATGCTTTTGTTTGATGACGCCATTTCTAGACGGCATTGGGAATTACTATCTCAGGACTGAATTCCGCGTATCCCTTAACACTAATAAAGATCGACTCCGGTGATCCGTCCGAATTAGCAGCGAGCTCGCAGGAAGCGATCACGCTTATCGCATTACGAGTTTTCGCCAAATGAGACAGAAGATATTAATACACATAAGCCGTAGACAGCGCTTACGGCGAAGGCCTCGACCTGGCCACCACAACACTCCCCGCCGAGCGAGAAAATGCCTGTTATTTTGGGAAATTTCGCGCAAAATACGGCTGCTTCGGGAATATGTACACAATAAATGCCACTGATGGTTGGGTATAAATCAACCGTAGCCGCCTCAATTTATTATTAGCGCGGCAATATACGTCGCTTCAAAATCACGAATTTAACGGAATTTTAATATTTTGGGTACCTGGGATGCGGTTAATTTTATTTAATGGCAGCGCGGCATGAAACTGTGGCTGGAACTGTATTATTTATTAGTGCGGAGTTTTTTAGTTTTAATAAATATAAATGCGCACGACGTGGTCAGCGGATTATGGAAGAAGTTGACGGAATGTTTGAGGGTTGGTGTTATGAAATTCCTCTAGATCCTAGCCAATTACTCTGGGGCCGCTTTAATCGTAATGATTCGGAAAAACTTGACTTGGAGAGGGAATATTAAATCAAGTCTGGAACTAGTTAACGTCAATGATGGCTCGTCTACGTCGCTCCCCTGTGTCGGGGTTGTAAGTCGATAAATGCGAACTACGGTTTAGAACCCACAATGAAGTTTATCGCTCCAACATTCACAAAAACACAAACACTTAAACAAAATGTATATTTTTTAAAGAAGGTAATGAGCTTGTGTCTGCCTATTGAGCTGTATTGCAGTAAATCCATCAAGCGGCGAATAAAAGGTGCTTTGTTCTTTTATTATTTCGACAACAAGATCGCAATTTCACTTAGCTGCATCAAAAGAAAAGCGAATTTTATGGTAATGTAAGTTTAATTTTTTTTTGCCATTCAATAATGTTACGAAAGAAACCCATACGACGCCTATGGGTTCTAGTACGTACGACGATGATGGGTGACTCATCGTGAAAAATCTGGAAGCTGAAGTCGCGATGGGGGATTCCAGAAAGACCTCGATTGTGGAACTTCTAGAAGTGGCGTCAGAGTTTTAGCCACGCCGATTTTTAAATCACCGATCATCTTAACAATAACAACGGTTACTTCTTGCTGACATTAAAATTGACTTTGATACTCACTAAGAGTTTTTCGAATTTTGGGAAATAAACTTGGTGTCGGTCGTGTAAATACTTACTGTCCAACCACTTGGAGTCGTACTTGAGCGTCCTCTTGAAGTTGAATTCCTTCCTGCCGGTGGTTAGATTGTAGAGGTCGGTTCTGAAAATGACTGTGTCTGCCTTGGTAAACTCCGCATTGGTTCCGGAGTAGAGTCCTGGCAGGTCTCCGGGGTTTCCCTTTTCCACCCAAACTGCTGTCGAATTGTCTGCAGGATCGTAGGGACACTTGGCGATGCCCAGTCCTATTCCCGGAACGAACGTGTTGCGACTGAGGTGCGTCAAATTCCCCTGAAACAACCCCCAATATAATTCGAGCGTTCTCGGCCATTAATTTTCACAAATTGTTGATTTAGCAGTCGTATATCTCTCGCAAATCGAGTGCGCTAACGCGAAATTATCAAAGATTCAGCTATATTTAGATATACAGACAATCGCGCTGGGGGATCCATTTCGAATTGGAATCACGTGGCTCGGGGTGTCTTCCGCTCGAATCGGCACATCAAGGAATCCTCAACATTACAGACGTATTAATTGAAGTTAAGCGAGTGTTGCTAAATCTGCAAGGGATTCGCTGTTATTAAATTTTCGATAAGGGCCGAAACGTCTTTGGGGAATTTAATAAATATGACCATCGTCACAGAGTTTTGGGATGATAGTCAAGTGTAATAACCTCAATGGCGAGAGCAAATGGCGGAATAAATAAGTAAAACACGGGAGAAAGTAATGCGATGCGAAATACGAGTTAGGTTGAAATGCTCCTGCGAAATGCGATAAGACGTCTCCTCCACCCTCACCTTGGTATAAGCTTGTGCAATGGCAACGGTATTAAAGATTCACGCCTGCATTACCGATGCTCGCCTCGCAAGAATCACATCGATTTCCCATTTGCGTGCACCCCCGCCGAACCGCACAATATTAGCTTGATAATACATAATGCCGTGTAAAGAGACCGTGATGCTGTATAATGGATTTCGGATTATTTACCTAGCTAAACGTAAATAAGTTACGCCAACTACCGAATCGAACAATGGCGTGAAACGTACTCCAAACTCTCAGTTAACATACGGCTTAGAACTAATACACCCTGGATAGCCGATACACAACGGCGTTTGCACAAAATTTAAGCAAGGTTCAAAAGTTCTATCACGAAATTAAGAAAACATCGTGTCTTTACGAAAGCAGTGCACTGTGTATGCACGAGTTCATAATATCGTTAATGCCCTATTATGTATCCTTGCTTTCTAAGTAGTTCCTCGTAGAGCAGACGGAACAAAGAAGCCAAACCTGCAGAATTAAAACGCTGGTGGCTTTAAAGGCTGGAACTTGGTAGAACAGTGCAGAAAAGATCAAATTACGTATTATGCTAACATAAGTTTCTTCGGAAATTCCGGAAAAGCTTTCGCAGGATGAATCTAGCCTTTTAATTCTTACCCTTGGTATTAAATGTAAACTTTCGGAAATGTGCCTGAATTATGAATGAACCGAGAATTTTCCGCGAGTGAAAAATTCTTGAATCCAAACTTAATTTTCGTTCAATTAGTTGCTATTCGTTGCATCCAGGTCAGATACCGGGACCGACTAAGTAAATATTCAATTAGTACTAAGCAAACTTCATTTTCGCGCAATATGCTTTTTTTCGGATTCCCTTATGGCATCGTTAAAATGTTCGTGTCAGAAACATGATTTAATTAGGCTGTTAATGAAAAAGTTCGAGTAGCCTCTGGCATCTGCAAAAATTCGCGTGATTATTAATGCAGATTTTTTGCAACATCTAGTGCTCTACTCCAACAATAACTTCGTTTCGTAGTAAAGTTAAGGTAAACTATTTGGAAGCGAAGCGCTTTTATTAATATTGACTCGAGTAACTCATCCCTTAAATGAAAAACTTCTGAGTGGAGTACGAAAAAACACGAGTGTCATAAACCAGCAAAATCGATGTAACTTATCATGTGATCCGACCATAAAATTTTCCTGTATGGATTGTAATGGCTATAAATAGTCCGGAAAAAACCGCATTTCCACATCAACATAATAGCAACGTTGCGGCGCTTTCCTCCTCGCGTTTCAGGTTATTTAATTCTGCCCTAAGCAGTTTATTCTCGCCATTGTGAAGCCCCTAAATCTCACTCCTTGCTGTACGACAGGAGATCTGCTAGGACAATTGGCCGCATAAACAACTTTCCGACACACGTGCGGAAAAGATTAAAATTTAGCTAAGACGTTTCTTGTTCGAACTTTAGGTCACGACTCTGGACGTGCACGGGAGAATCGCAGATAAACTTGTCGAACCCGAATAATTTTTACCTCATTCGGAAGGTGAAAAAGTGACACGAAAAGGTTAAAAATCGTCTCTGCACTTACATTTACCACCCAGTCCTTTGGATTGTGAGCGTTGGTCCCGCAGATGTACAACCTATGACCATCTCCCATCGGTTGGATCACTCGGATGTGGTTGCGACAGTCGAAGTGCTGAAACAAAACATCAGTTAAATTGGAATTTTTAATTTTGGTGTGTAAGTGTGCCGCGCTGCACTCGCTCTACTAGCTTGTACGTGATTTTGCCCGCATTCGGCCGGCTTTTCCTTCCTCAGCAAACTATGTTAAATGTCTCGGCCGCTAAAAGCGCCTTAGCGTTCAAATCATATGTTGCTGAAGGCCTAACATGTCCGGTTAGCGGTTCCCGGCGGTCAGCAGCGAATAACACGCCAATTTCTAGACCAATCGAGCGATCAGGGCTTTTTGCGCCGTCGGGAACTCAACTTTTTCCAACTGTATAAGAAGTTGTTCCCATGGGGAATCGATAGCCAAGCTGTATTTCCGCGGTCGGAGGTTAAGAGCCATTGTGATTCGACACCGAGAAACGTTACAAACTTCCTTCTTTTCCCAAACTGGGCGTTATTCAATTTTGATCTTCCGTCTTACGACCGATCCGGCGCTCGTTTCCTTTTGACGTTAATAATGCGTAGGAAAAACGTCTAATAGTGGCGGAGTCACCCCCTCGGCCGATAAAAGCCGAGTCGTAAAGAATAAAAATTTTAGTGGTGAAAATAGAGGAAATTGTCTTGGATTTGTCGGAGGCGGGCTATACATGTCGATGTGGATAATAGTAGACATGAATCAGACGTGACGTCAGGAGTTACCGATACCCGTAATTTGGTAATAGACGATACGTAATGTTAAAAATAGGACTGGTGTCTGAGTCGATAGTTGGAAGAGTCGTAAATTGGATGAAAGTTTTTGTCTACAACGTGGAAGTTCCAGGGTGATCTGTGAAGATGGCGTGGGGTAACATCCATAATGGGGCATCAAATTAAACTTGGGGGACGTTATTTAGCCTAAAGGAAAGCAGCGAGTATTAGATGTCTCTGACAACATTTAACACAAATTAGGTATCAGATTTATTTGATTATTGCTCGAAGTGCTTTTAGCAGGATCAAGAAAGACACAAAGAAATTAAAAGATTATGTTGACGCTCGGGTCAAAGATGTGCCCTTGTCCTATCAAAAGGGGTAACGACACCAAGAGAAAAAGTTTCCTTCACAATACCTATTTCTGACAGATTATTGATAGAAGATAAATAAAAGTCTAGTAAGTGAACAGCTATGTTTAGACCGGCGAAAAAGCCGCTTTGGGCCACTCTGTACACAATCGCCGCCCCGATAAAGCCGGCGTCATAAAGCATAAAAATTTATGGAGACGCAAATAAAGAAATTACCCCTCTGCATTTTACATTTTGATGGTCGAAAGCTTTACGACGACTTGAAGAAATAAAATCTTGATGATATCCATCTCCCATTAGGATTAGCGCGGGAAAAATAAAGCCACAGAAACATACCTCATACGCGATTACATTAATACGTTCGTAAGAAGCGGTGGAGTATAAAGAATCGGAAAAGGAGAATCCCTGGAGCGAAAGATTAATTTTAAGAGTTGGCTTGTATTTTTTTGCGTTCAACGCTTGGGTTTTAACACTGCTGCAAGTCGAGAACTGGTCGTAAATCCTGGTCTTGTTTGTTCACTGGTCATTTCGCGATTTATATATTTACCCGTTGCAGATTTATATTCCTTTTCCATTTGGGGAAGTTAAATGGACCAGGTAAAGCGCCAAAACTACATCATTAGCGGGAAATTTCCGCTTAATTAAAGGGCTCGCCGCGCAAACACATCGAGAACGGGTCAACTGTTTCGGCGTGTATCCGCAATGTTTTCGGCAAAAAAGCCAGGCGGTTTCCGTTCTGGAGTCTGGAGTAATGGCACGTGCAAGAAAACCATGTGATGAGTCATCAAGGTTTTGTATCTTCAATTAAACCCATATAGAAGGTGGGGACAGCTTAGCACTACGCAGACTGAATCAGAGTGGACGTAAGAGGACAAATTTCCAGGTCAGTGATGATCTCCAAAAGGTAATAATAATAATGGTAGTTTTATATTGCAGACGATCTCAGAAAAATAGCTCGGAACATTACTCATACGACACAAAACAAATTTCTTTATGAGAGCTCGTCTTCAGCGGCCTTTAACTTTCATTTCCTGGCCGACTTCTTGCCAACGTCCCATTCGCTGCAACATCCGTCATTTACAATAAACATCTTCATCCTCGATTTGAGTCGTGAAATATTCATACGCGCTCCTAACTGCATCCAGGCTAATGGTCCCCCGAGAGGTACCGTCCCCGTTTTGAATATTAAAGTACCATCCCGTTTGAAGGCGCATCATAAGAGTCGACAAATCAACTGGTCTAATTAACCCGCGAAACGAAAGAGCCCGAAATAAATAATAATTAAGATGAAAGCGCCGGCCATTAATGTCAAACCACACGGCAGGGCAAAGCAAACAGATTCAAGAGGACCGTTTTTCCAATTACGCCCATTTATACTGTATGGTACTTTGGCTAATTGTGAAAGCGAGTGTGCACTCGTTGAATATTGCATTTTAATTACTTGTGATGAACGATTGCGCGATTTCGGCTGCTGCTTTCTGCATCATATTCCGAAATGTGTGTTCCGTTGCCAGCATTAAGGACGCACATTTCTGCATGCTAATCAAGCACGTAGTGTAAATTATCTGCGTTCTTGGCAATGCGATGGCGCTGCCGTCGTGCAGATTACGCCGGAAGCGAATTGACATTTAATTGCTTCGCTATTTAAAAGCGTTTAGGTTTTTGAGTCTAATTAGCGGCGAAAACGGGAAATGGAGCAGGTTATTGCAAAAAGGCCAACAGCGGGGCTTTTTTAACGAACGCTTCGCGAAGTAACGCCGACTATTATAAACAAATAAGCGACGAGTTTTGCTGTGCGGGTTTTTTAGGGGTTTAATCGACGCTCGGGTCCCGAACTTCGCTCGCCTCATGGAGAACTACGGACATTGTAGTTTCCCGGATTCTTGGATAGTTTCCCCACTAAATTGTTATTTAAATTTAATAGATTCTGATTTGAAAATTTTCATGATAGTCATTTGCAGTGTTCAAGATTTAACTTTAAAACATTGATATGCTTTGAATAAGTTATCAGTGAAGTAAGTGTCATCGTGGATTCGAAAATGGAAAGGGAATTTTATGCTGACATTCCTCTCACAGCGAAGTGTGTACCGAGCGGCATTATTCATTCACAATGTAATCTTGTTTAATTAATTTTGACTTATTCAGTTTAGCATCACGTAGATACTCGTGGTTTTGTTGTTATAGTGTGGTCGGGGTCTTCAAGACGGTAGACTGATAGTTTAAAATTCAGAAATTTGCCAAAATATGAAGTGAAATATAGTGCAGAGGTAAATTTTCGGGGAAAAGCGCATCCGCAAGCATTTCATATTGGAATTCCCCTACTTTTCCGCCGGTTTTAATATTCTCGTCATAGTGCGTAAAAAACTAATGGCATGTTCAAAGGATTCAGTTAACATGGATTGATTAAAATTGCGGATGGCATTTAAACATAAAGGGAAAAGCCCCTTCATCAAATCGTCCGCAACAGACCTGGAGCGCGAATCGATCGAACAGTAGTAATTTAAAGTTGGAAGCCCCGACAAAAATCACTAATTTAAATATGAAACAAATTAGAAAAATCAGCATGATTTAATTTGAAATTCCGACCTCCGCCGCCGTCGCCATTTGCATCTGCATTCGTAATATCAGCAACGTGACACGTATTTAACTTTTCCAATTTCCGGCTCATATCATTGTGTCTTCAGCTAATGAAAAACTTTTTCCTAGAAATAACACAAAACGTTTGATATTCCCGCCGTCGTACGTCTCAATTTGATTCCGAGCCCATTACCGATACAGTTTTTCATTCGTTTGAGCAGTTTTCCGGATCGTGGAGTAATCCATGAGCCTTCGCTTTCAGCTGTGTCGCATTATATTTATTTTAGTTTCTGTTTGCACGTATTGACGGAAGACGTAAGGCTCATTTCACCTCAAGTCACTTTTGATTCTGTTGTATGTTTTCGGTGCTTAATCTTTACCCCATAGAGTGCCGAGCAGATTCATTGCACGCCACCAAGTGCACCTGCTTTGATCCCAAGTGCTTCATAAAAGGGATTTATGCGAGCAAAATTATTCGTCACGAGTCGTTTGCCCCTGAAAGACGCGCCAATCGAAGCGATACGTCTTACATTCAATAACGCGTGTAATTGATACGAAGAATAAAAGCTTGTAAATAAACAAGGTGGCGAAAAACTTACGGCTGCACTCTTCGACCCGAGAACTTCACGAACTCGCCACTTACGCTAATAAAACGGGATTGCATTCGTTCTCCATCGGCGGGAATTGAAAAGAAATGGAACAGTATTCATTCGAAAACCAATTTTTCAGCAACGGATGGAACTATATTGAAGCGGAGCTCGCGGAGTGAGCGAGATGTTGTATATTGTGTACTCCGTGACACAATCACGCCTAATGTAGGTAGGTATGCATGAGATAGCAATTTTCAGGAGCACCCTGTATAAGCGACGGCTAATGAAATCCTGCCGCCGTTCGCCGAATGTTTCCATCGAATGACTTGACGAGAGGTAATGTGTTGTATATGTTACACTCCACCCTCGTCAGATATCTCTACAGCTCAAACTGGCGAAGATTAATTCACCACAAGAAGTTAATACATGTTTTCAAAGCAAAATCGGAACGAGTCGCTTTGATTTGTTCTAGTAAAAGCCGGCAGAAGAGAACAAAACTCGCATAGCAAATTTTTAATCATCGTCCGTCTGTTCATTATCAGCCATCACGTTTGAGCGTAATAGCATTTATCTGAATGGAACGAGACACAACGTTCCCGTCCGAATTAGAAGCTATTTAATAATGTAGTGGAAATTCGCATACATGTATGAACTATGTGGTTTTATGAAGTTATATAGAATATAAAGTAGGCTGTATGTAAAACTGTCACGTTACACGTTCAAATTTATAGAACAAGTGGATAACTGGATAACTTTTCATGTTCAGGATTCACGTTCGTGTGAGATTAAATTAGATGCCAAAA